CTGAAACAGGCTCCAGGCTCTGAGCTGGCAGTCAGCACAGAGCCCGACGCGGGGCTCGAACCCACGAACTGCGAGATCATGACCTAAGCGAAAGTCGGACGCCCAACCGACTAAGCCACCCAGGCGCCCCTAATAGGTCCTTTTAAAGATAGGATATGAATAATATGTTAGCAGAAATTAATTATCTAAGGGTAATGCATTTAAATAAAGTGCTTCCTCTAGGCATCAAATGCTGGCTGTGAACTTGTTGTTAGAGAGTGCCTTTAAATTATTAACAGAAGGCTGTTAGGCCATGGCAGGCTAATCATTTATCCCCAGGTAGAGCATCTCTAAGGAATAACCTTGGAGTTAAAGCCTCATAAATGTTGCTGCATTGCCTGATTAGAAAGGAAAGATATTCTGAAGAACTTTGTGCTTTGGTCCTGATTGTTTCCTGAAGAACTCCACCAAGGGGCTTGTCCTTTCCAAAATGGAAAGATGAGTCAGTGTCAAGAGTCCAGGAATGAGCTCAGGAATGAGCAGGTATGTGTTCTTCAATCTTCCTTTCTTGCTGTGATGCTAGGAAGAGCAAAAACCATTGTGAAGCATATACCTTTCAGCCGTCTCCTGAGGGTCTGGACCTAGAGTGGTAGAGTCTGAGATATAAATATGGATACGTATAGATATATACATATTCTTGAAAGTCCATTAGTCCTTTGAGAAAATAATAGTTAAATGTGTTCAGTACTGTTCTATGCTCTTTATACATTTTAATTCATTTACTCCTCATTAATCTTATAGAATCTTCATTTTACAGAAGCAGAACCTAAGACTCATGGAGATGAATTGGCTTGTCCAAGGCCAAGCTATAAGACTATTTGACTCCAGAACACACCCTTAACCATTACACTACACTTACAGTGTAATTTATAGCAGGGAGAAGTAGAAGTGCAGAAAAGATGAATGCCTCAATTCTTCCCTTTGGAGAGAAATCATAAAACATTCATGTATGTTTTAAAAGGTGCTGGACTGAAGTAGTTAAGTGTATGGCTCTGGGGTCAGGTTACAGGGTTCAGTCTCTGCACTGCCAGTTTCTATGTCAGTGATCTTTGGCAAATTATTCATAGACCTTGTATTTTGTTTGTTTGGGTTTTTTTTTTTTTTTGCATGGATTAAATAAGTTAAAACATCCAAAACACTTACAATAGTATCTGGCATTTAGCCAATAGATGTTAGATAATATTGCTCTTCAATTGAAACTCTCTTCAAAAAAAAAAAAAAAAGGAAAAAAGAACTCTCTTCAAGTTGAACGTTATGAATGGTCTTCAGAGATAAGGTAATTATCCAGCATTTAACATACTTTCATGGTAATTCAAAAGGGTCACAGATTTTAAGATCCTTTGAAAGGCAAAAGCCAAATAATGAAAGGAAGATAAATAGATACCTAGACCAGTAAATGAAAAGTAAACTCATCCTGAGACATATAAAGTACACATGAGCTATCTACACTATCCTAACTAGCATGATAAAGGAAATCCTTCTTTCTATACATTGTTTCTTTTCTGCCCCTTTAGGGACAGTTTTAATTCCAGGAACTACTCAGCTGACCCAGAGAGACATTCTCTACAGACTACAATCTTCAAAAGCAAAGTGCATTATTACCAATGAAGTTTTAGCCCCTGCAGTAGATGCTGTTGCATCTAAATGTGAAAATCTGCACTCCAAGCTAATTGTATCTCAGAAACCCAAAGATGGGTGGGGGAACCTCAAGGAGATGATGAAGTGAGTAGCCATAATTCTTGTAAAACAGCTTTCCTAAAAGAAAGGCAATATTGAAAAGATAGATATTCAACCCACCTAAGTGATCAGATAAATGAAAATTAAAATGAGGCAAAGGGAACAACTGGTAATTATGGCTGCACCAACAGTGCAAAGCTCTGAGGCAGGAAGGAGGTTGGAGTGTTTTTTAGAGGTTAGGATCTCCAGGAAGCAGGCCCTGAGATAGAGATTAGTTGTGTAAGAAGTTTATTAAGGAGTTGTCTTGGGGTCAACACCTAAGAAGGAAGGGGAGGGATGTGCAATTGGATAGGAAGAAATTTATCTGTGACGCACCCCCAGAAAAACCCTTAGCCAACCCACTGGGGCATCTGGGGAATGGATAGCCCCTCAAAGCTATTCCCGGATAAAGTAAGAGGTCCTGGCCTTTATATAACCATACTGATCAGTAACTGGGTGTGGCCTATCTCTAGAAGGAGGGGTGAATGACCTTGAGCAAGGCAGCTGTCTTCAGACAAAGCAATCTCTAAAAGAGGGCTGGCTCCCAGCACCTGTGGGGAGCTAAGTCCTTCATTTCTGCAGCAGGATCTAGGAGGTGGCTCACAGCACCAATCACAGGGCTGTTATCATCTCCCAGAGAAACGGAGAAACACAATCAATTCTTCTCTGTAGGCTATATCATTTTCTTGCTGATAACAACACTTCACGTTATGAATAAGAACCCTTAACATTAATGGATGTGGTTATAAAACTGAGATACACTGATATCCAATCCCTGCTATGGAATGCTTCCAGGGGGTCACTTGGCACTCTGGCCAGGTACTGGTTCTCTCTTAGCTTTAGGCTGGCAGCCAGTTCCCTCTAGAATGAACTTCCTACCTTTACTCAAAGATTTGGAAGCATGCTTGCAACTATGGATTTGTTCCTACCGCCTCTAAAATAGCCAGCGTTTATTGAGTTCTTACCAAAAGTCAAGTACTGTTCTAATTAAAATTTTGTTATAATTGCAATAATGGGTAACATATATATGGCATTGGTTAGATGCCAAAAACTGCTCCAAGCATTCACATATATTAACTCATTTAAACATCACAATAACCCAAGGAGCAGGTACTATAGTAATACAGATGAAGAAGGTCAAATGCTACTATCTGGCAGAGCTGAGTTACAAACCTAGGGATTCTGGCTTCTGAGCCACACTCCTAAAGGCTATATGTTCACTACCTGTAGGGGTGAGAGATTAGTATGATAACCCCACCTTAGTTTTCAAAAGCAACCATATTTATAATGAAGTGATAAGTACACCGCGATAGGTACTATTTTTAAGGAAGAAAATTATGGAACATAGACTAAATACCTAGTCTAGCTTTGTTAGGCTTTGAAAACAGCTTCTTGGGTGCCTGGGCGGCTCAGACATTAAGCATTAGGTCATGACCTCAGGGCTGGTGAGTTGGAGCCCCGCTTCCCTCTTTCCTCTCACTCTCTCCTCCCTCTCCCCCTGCCCCTTCTAGGATTCTCTCTCTCGTTCTCTCTGTCCCCCCTCACTTGTGCCCTCTCGAAAGAAAGAGAGAAAGAGAGAAAGAGAGAAAAAAAGAAAGGAAGAAAGGAAGAAAGGAAGAAAGGAAGAAAGGAAGAAAGGAAGAAAGAAAGAAAGAAAGAAAACCAGCTTTTCTATAATTCTCTTGGCCTGGATTTTCTTTTTTTTTTTTAATTCAGCATCTTCGTTGGGTTTTTTTTTTTTTTAATTTTTAATGTCTTTTATTTATTTCTGAGAGAGACAGCGTGAACAGGGGAGGGTCAGAGAGAGAGGGAGATACGGAATCCAAAACAGTCTCCAGGCTCCGAGCCAGCTGTCAGCACAGAGACCGACATGGGGCTTGAACCCACGAACTGTGAGATCATGACCTGAACAGAAGTCGGAGGCTTAACCGACTGAGCCACCCAGGGGCCCCTTGGCCTGGATTTTCTAATTCATTCATTCTCAGCCTAATACTCCCAGATAAAATCTCTGTGTGCAGCGTTTACCTCCTCTCAGCTGCCCTAATGTAGGGCCTCTTGGCAGCCCAGTTATCCTTCAGAACTACAGCTGAACAATGTGGGAATTACCAGCCTGCCTTATACCATTACGCGTGACTTCTATGAACATATTCACTTTTTAAAATGTTTATATATTTATATATTTATTTGCAAGCAGGGGAGGGGCAGAGAGAGAGGTAAAGAGAGAATCCCAAGCAGACGGCACACTGTTAGCGCAGAGCCCGACATGGGGCTTGAATCCACAGACCATTAGATCATGACCCTAGCAGAAATCAAGAGTCAGACACTTAACTGATTGAGCCACCCAGGCATCCTATTGAGTTTTTTTTTTTTTTAATGCTTCAACTCTTCTTTAACATACAGTAAAAACACTATGAAACCAGCGATAATAAATGGGCTATGATGATTACATTTAGTTTAATTCCAGAAAGCACCTAAAAAGATAGAGAAAGAGATAGTTTTTACCTTGGAATTCAACCTAAGTCAATGAGGACTGATCCATAAGGTGAAGAGGTCCGAGTAGATGGTTTCTCAAATTCTTTGCTGTGGTAACAGTTCATGGTGCTGCGTTTCATGTGCAGAATCACTGTAGTTCTTCCTTTGCAGACATGCCAGTGACAACCACACCTGTGTGAAGACAAAACATGATGAGATGATGGCCATTTACTTTACGAGTGGAACAAGCGGATCTCCAAAAATGACCGGACACACCCACAGCAGTTTTGGTTTAGGATTATCTGTAAATGGAAGGTACCTTCACAGAGCTGTAGCTTGACATGCCAATACCGTGGAGGTGCTGATTCATTTACTGGTCTTTTAAATTTGTTTTTCCTACATATATCCTTGTTTTCCCAGGTTCTGGCTGGATTTGACACCTTCAGATGTGATATGGAATACCTCAGACACAGGCTGGGCAAAGTCTGCATGGAGCAGCATCTTTTCTCCATGGACCCAGGGAGCATGTGTATTTGCACATTATTTGCCACGTTTTGAGCCAACTTCCATCTTGCAGGTAACGGAGAGCATAAGAGGTCACCTTTAGAAGTGCTTTAGCAGGGTCCCTGACAGGACTGATAAATACAGTAACTTGTAGAAATCTGAGTAGACAACATGATTTAAGGTATTATCCTGAAAAGATACACAGACAAAAGGTATGAGTGCATTTATGTTAGAATAAACAATGTTTAAGTTGTGCTGTGCCTTAAATAAACATTTAGGGACTTATTAAAGTTGTAGTAAGACCAAGAATTCACTTCTAAATTGCAGACACTTTCCAAGTTTCCCATCACCGTCTTCTGTTCAGCGCCAACTGCATACCGAATGCTTATACAGAATGATATGACCAGGTAAGAAATGTTGGTAAATAGTCATTTAGTGGGGGGTTGGAGAGAGGAAGAGGAAGCCATAAAATAAGAGATCTTTCTGCCTAAAAACATAGTCCCACAATGACAAACCAGATTAGATTAAACGTTCCTTATGCCAAACTTAGAAAAGGGGGTTTGAAACTGGCTATTTTGTTAAATCTTTTAGTGTAGTTGAAAGTAGATGGTATACTTTAAATTTATAAAAAAGAAAAAAATTTTGTTCTGGGTGCCTGTGATGTTCTTTCGAGGTGAATTATAATATTGATGCGAATTTATTTGTATGATTAGATTCTATAATATGCTCAAATAAGATATAACCATTTAATATAATTTCATTCCATTTAATATTTGGAAATGTGCTCTGAAATACATGAAAATGTTTAGAATAGCTTGTGTTATTTATGTTGGGAAAATGCACTGAATTAGAGAAACTTATGAGTATTTAATAACTTCCTTACACAGGACAGGTGAAAATGATATTTGGGTTGTTATATCCTATGAACCATTTGTAAATGTCTTAATTTGATGTAAATATCTCTGCAACAAAATAGAAACTTTTTAACTTCAAGTAGCCCTAACTATGAGAGTGCTTATTACACAGCTATTTAGATTGGGCACTTCATCTGATTGACAGAGGATAGCTGTTTTTTAACCCCTCCTGAAAGTTTGGTGATGCAGATTGTGGTGTGGATGTTAAAAACTATACTGTTCTAAAAAGAAACTAGCTTTGTAGAGTTATATATACCTGTAATTATACCCACAAAAAACAATATTTGGGGTACATCTTGGGGCTTGAATATAAAATCTTTTAGTAACTTTTCCCCCTGTGTAAGTTACTGTTAATGGTTTGTGGTACAACATCATTCTCTAGAATACTAAGTGGAAGTAGATGCTCCCTACTTTTCATGCTGAAGTGGACCAGTGTCTATGAAGAGTGACAAATAAAGTTAATAACGATTCCAAAAACCCCCCAGAAAACCCATAGTTCCACACTAGTAGGTATGGAATTTAACAGTCTCTTCATCCCCTCTCCTTCTTGCTTTCATTCTTTAAATCATAATTATTACAACCAGTGCAGGCACCCCCATGCAAAGTGAGAAAATGGAGGGTTCAGCCACAGGTATACCCCTGGGCCTAGAGGCTATGGATAAGAGAGTATTTAATCTTTGGATGATAAATGTTACCTGAGCCAAGAAAGAGAAATTATCCCAATGTGGAGCCCTGTCCCAGCAAATAGGAAAAATGAATGTCTTTTACTCTTGATTCCATATGAAAGGGTATATTGGTAAATATTTTTTAATTATTAAAATTGCTAAAACTTTTTGAATAGGAAATATTTAATACGAAAAAAAATTCAATAGGTTTATAAGACTGTAGAATGGAGTCTTCCTCCAAATCTTGTCCTCAGTCTCAGTTCTCCTTCTCCCTGAAATCTGTGCTTATACAAACCAATATGCCAGTATTCTTCCTCCCCACCTTTTATAAACATAAATGGAAACACAGTATGTTCACAGTTCTGCACCTTCCTTTTTTTTTGCCTAACAGTACCTCCTGGAACTGTGTTCTATCCAGCGCTATCCAATATGATAACCACTAGCCACATGCAATTATTTAAATTTAGCTTTAATTAAATTAAAAATTCACTTTCAAGTTGCACTAGCCATGTTTCAAGTGCTCAGTAGCCAAATAGGGCTAGGTGATACTGCAGTGGATAGTGCAGATAATAGAACATTTTGATTGTGGCAAAAAATTCTATTGGACAACAATGTCCAGGAGCTTCCTTCTTCTTCTTCTTCTTCTTTTTTTTACAGCTCTATAGGATTCCACTGCATAAATATTCCACAGCCAATTTAACCACACAATTGGTAAATTCTTATCACCGATTTAAAATGTTATTATGCAATACCTTCCCTGAGGATGACATAGCTTTTTTTTTTTTTTTAAACAACAAATCACATGCTCCCAGAAAGAGGGGAAGAAAATGGATGTCTTGGGAGTCATTTTATGATGCTAAGATGGTTTGTTTATTTTGTATTGAAGAGAAGAGTAAGGAAGGAACTAAAACACACTTCATATTGATTTTCATTAGAAATAACCCTAATTTGGGGCGCCTGGGTGGCTTAGTTGGTTAAGCGTCCGACTTTCACTTGGGTCATGATCTTGCGGTTCGTGGGTTCAAGCCCCGCGTCGGGCTCTGTGCTGACTGCCAGCTCAGAGCCTGGAGCCTGTTTCGGAGTCTGTGATTCCCTCTCTCTGACCCTCCCCTGCTCATGCTGTCTCTCTCTCTCTCTCTCTCCTAGAAATAAATAAAACATTTAAAAAAAATTAAAAAAAAAAGAACCCTAATTTTAATTTCTCTCTTTTTGTCTCCTAATTTTAACTTATATGTTTTCTGAGAAGCTGTAAGTTCAAAAGCTTAAAGCACTGTGTGAGTGCTGGGGAACCAATCAATCCTGAAGTGACTGAACAGTGGAGAAACTGGACAGGTCTGGATATCTACGAAGGATACGGACAGACCGAAACGGTATATGACCTCATTGAAAAGACAAGGACGGACTCTACTTAGCTGGATAAATTAGAAAGTGATATATGTATAAATATATATAACTTATAAATTTTAAAATAAGTATTTATTATATCCTTACAACCCTTATTATTTGAGGGATGGGGAGGTAGAGGAGTGGTTAGAAGAGTGGTTTAAAGAAAGTTGGAGGGAAGCTAGTTGCAAAAAAACTCTGTAACAGATACAGTTGTTTAAGTGGCCATTCATTTAGAAAAACTATTATAAAGCTGATCAGGGCAAGGGCATTAAAATATATTTTAAATGAAAGAATGCTAGATCAACAGACAGATTTCCCCTTATAAAAGAGGGAACTTTCTTAAGGCTGCCTCAAAAATGGAAAATGCTGAGTTCCTTGCTACTTGAAATATTAAGAGTTCACGTAGATAACTCCTTGGCAATTATACTCTAAAAGGGGTTATGTAAAGAGCTTGGAGAAATAAGAAGAAGAAATTCAAGAGGAAGTGAATAAACTCATAACAAATGTGGTTATTATGTTAGGAAAAGGAGTCATGCAATGGAGCAAAAAAAGGAAAGGCTGAAAGAAATTTTTCATAGTGTGTCTTTTTATAATGCTTCTATTTATAAATCATAAGAATGGTAAAAAATTAAAATACCAAAAATAAAATTTACAGATGTATTAAAGAGAAAGAGCAGAACAACTGTCATGCTAATATGGGTATAAATGTTTTCATAAATATGGATATGTTAGTAATTATCAAGTGTTATAACTTTACTGTATGTATTTGTTTAGTGTCTATCTCTATACTCCTGGAGGGCAGAAAATTTGTTTTATTTTGAGCCTGATTCATCATAAGTTCTCAATAATTATTTGTTGAATGAATGCATGTGGATAAATAATAAATTTTAATGAAACTAAATGAATGAATGAATGAATGAAATTAAAATGAATTTTAAGTTATTTGTAAAGTTACTTTATTCTTTCTTCTTCTTAACTAGGTGCTAATCTGTGGAAATTTTAAGGGAATGAAAATTAAGCCTGGCTCAATGGGAAAGCCATCTCCTGCTTTTGATGTTAAGGTTTGCACATCCCCTTCCAGGAGACTATTTAACAACCCAATCTGTTTACCACCTACCCCTATACTCCTAGTTTTGGTGATGATTTCATGCTACTTCCTTGATATCTTAATTTTCATGTATTAGAAATGGATTAGAGACATTAGTTTAATGGTCTTCCTTTTTTTTTTTTTTTTTTAGCAAAGCAGTGGCTTGTGCCAAGCAGTTCTAAATATTTTATACATGTTAATCCATTTGATTCCCAGAAATAACTTATGAGAGACCAATATGGCTGAAGGAGTATGAGAGATATAGGCTTCTAGTTATAGAATGAATAAGTTACAAAGTGAAAAGATACAGCATAGGGCATATAGTCATTCAATACAATACAATATAGTACTGTAATTGTAATGTATGGTGACATATGGTAGCTACATTTGTGAACATAGCATAATATATAAACTTGTCAAATCATTATATTGTACGCTTGAAACTAATGTAACATTGTATGTACAATGTTATACATAATGTAACATTATAAAAAATAAAAAAGAACCATTTTACAGATGAGGCACAGAGAGGGAAGGAATTCACCAGAAGTCACATAGCTAGTGGCTACAGTGTGGAACTCAATCCCCAGCAATCTGGTTCTAATATCTGTATTCTTTTAAAAAAAAATTTTTTTTAATGTTTTATTTATTTCTGAGAGAGAGAGAGACAGTGTAAGCAGGGGCGGGGTCAGAGAGAGAGGGAGACACAGAATCTGAAGCAGGCTCCAGGCTCTGAGCTAGCTGTCAGCACAGAACCTGATGCGGGGCTCGAACCCACAAACTGTGAGATCATGACCTGAGCTGAAGTCGGAAGCTTAACAGACTGAGCCACCCAGGTGCCCCAATATCTATATTCTTAATCACATCATCACACTGCTCTTTCTGATGAAGGAGGTCAAGATCTCCTGAGGGGGTCAAGTAGGCCAAAGGAAGTTACAGTTTATAGTGGCTTAAGTATTTTTCTCTTTCCCCAGTCCTACTGGGTCATTTCCTGGCTCTCTTTAACACCTGATCCCTAGGGAGCATCCTATTCTCCTATCTGCATACTTTTTACAGGATTAGGATTGTTCTCAGATCAACACACCCAAAGCAAGGTATAGCCAAAGGAGCTTACACTAAATTATAAGAGAAAACCATAGCATAGCAACAAAAACACAAAATGGATGAGCTTATAGAATGGAGAGCTCAGAACCAAACCTAAATGAGGGTTAGTTATAGATTAGATCAATGCTTCCAAAGCTTTTCCAATCATAGAATCACATGGATACTTGTTTAAAAACACTAATCCTCAGGCCCCTTCTAGGTGGGACTCCAAAATCTTTGTTTTAAACAGACACCCCAATTCTTATAATTAGGTAAATCTGAAAGTTTAGATGAAATTGATTGCTGATGTCAGTTTATTGAATAAACCAAATGCTGGGTTCTTTCCCTGACTTTAACGTTGCTGAGAACCTTGTCTAGACAGGTTTGCCTTGGGGCATCTGGGGGTCTCAGTCGTTAAGCTTCCGACTTTGGCTCAGGGCATGATCTGGCAGTCTGTGAGTTCGAACCCTGCCTCCAGCTCTGTGCTGACAGCTCAGAGCCTGGAGCCTGCTTCAGATTCTGTTTCTCCCTCCCTCTCTTCCCCTATCTGGCTTGCACTCTGTTTCTCTCTCTTCCTCTCTCAAAAATAATTAAACGTCTAAAAAATTTTTTTAAAAAAGATAGGCTTGCCTGATGGTTCAGGTCTGGTTCTGCTATTCACTAGGTGAGTGTCTTTGGGTAAATTGTTAAAGTTTCAGTTTCCTGATTTGTAAAATAGGGACTATGGTTACCAACTTGGGACTTACTTGGTTGTAGCACTGAAAGTTATACATCCCAGGGACACTCTCCTACCTTAGTCCTGGGCAAATTGAGGTTGGTTGGTGCCCTATATAATGAAACTGATATCATACGTTTCTTGTGAGGATTAAATGAGGTAATATCTCTAAAGAGCATAACAAAGTGCTTGGCACATAATAAAGTTCTAAAAGATAGGTGCCATTATAACCATTCAGCTCTCCCTTGCATTCCCTTCCTTTGAAAAGCCTTTTTTTAAAAAAAAAAAATGTTTATTTATTTATTTATTTATTTATTTATTTATTTAGAGTGTAGGAAAGAGGGAAGGGCAGAGAGAGAGGAAGAGGAGGGAGGGAAGGCGGGGGCAAAGAGAGGGGGAGACAGAGGATCCAAAGCAGGCTCTGCACTGACAGCAGAAAGCCCGATGTGGGGCTCAAAATCATGAACCGCAAGATCATGACCTGAGCCAAAGTCAGACACTTAACCAGCTGGGCCACCCAGGCGACCCTGAAAAGCTTTTCTTTTTTTTTTTTTTTTCCAGCTATGTTTTTATTTTTTTTTAAAATTTTTTAATGTTTTATTTATTTCTAGGAGAGAGAGAGAGAGAGACAGCGTGAGCAGGGGAGGGTCAGAGAGAGAGGGAGTCACAGACTGAAACAGGCTCCAGGCTCTGAGCTGGCAGTCAGCACAGAGCCTGACACGGGGCTCGAACCCACGAACCGCGAGATCATGACCTAAGCGAAAGTCGGACGCTTAACCGACTAAGCCACCCAGGCGCCCCTGAAAAGCTTTTCTAAGAAGAGAAGTTCGGGGATTTCTGGTTACATTCTGTAAACAGGCTTCATTGATTTATAGGTTGCCTTAGATTGGAGAAAGAAATATTGATAATTAAGCATTATCATGCCTGCATTGTATGTAATCAGGTTGGCATTTTACAAAGTTGTGTTCCTTTCTTCCCTCTTAATGAAAATTCCCAACATGTGTTGCTATGAAGTTCTCACAGTACAGCTTTACTCACACGAATCCCAACAGCAATGTATCACCACTTCCCCACTAATTTAAGCCCTGTGGATTTCTGGAGCAACTGTATTTGAATACAAAGAAGGGTGTGGCCAAGAGGAAAACCGTGCTCTGTCATGCATCCCCAGTCAGCAAAACTATTTTCATTTTTCCCCCAATTTTTTATTCTAATAAAATACACGTAAAATTTATCATCTTGAGCATTTTAAGTGCACAATTCAGTGGTATTAAATGCATTCATAATATTGTGTTCCTATTACCACTATCCATCCCCATAACTCTTTTCATCTCATAAAACTGACTCCATATCCATTAAACGGTAACTTCCCTTTCCTCAATGCCTCCAGCCCTGGCAACTACCATTCTCCTTTCTACCTTTATGACTACTATTTATAAGTGGAATCATAGAGCATTCATCTTTTTGTAATAGCTTATCACACTTAGCATCATGTCCTCAAGTTTCATCCATGTAGCATGTGTCAGAATTTCCTTCCTTTTCAAGGCTGAATAATATTCCATTGTACTGGCTATAACATATTTTTGCTTTTCCATTCATCTGCAATGGGTGCTTGGGTTCTTTCCACATTTTAGCCATTACAAATATCTCTTCAAGAACATGCTTTTAATTTAGATATATACCTAGAAGCAGAAATGCTAGATCACATGGTAATTCTATTTTTAATTTTTTTGAGGAACTGCCATACTGTTTTCCACAGTGCCTATATCATTCTTTCATTCCCACAATGCCTAAGGGTTCCAATTCTTCCATATCCTCACCAACATTTATTTTCTATTTTTTTGATAGTAGCGATCCTAATGGGTGTGAAGTGGTATCTCCTTGTAGTTTTGATTTGCATTTCCCTAATACAGCTATCTTCATTTTTAACTTTTCCCCAAGAGCTCTTATTACTGCTTTTGTTACCTAGCTAAGAGCATCTGCAGTGACATCCTGGAATCTGGGGATATACACCAACCAGCTGGATATCAGATTCTTGCAACTTCAAAGCTCAAAGCCCACAATTTTCATGATTTTAAGACCAACATGATTCTCTCCAGAAATAGAACATTTTATATCTTTCTCATCTATTAGAGAGCAGTCTGTGAGAAGTATTTGGAACTCTTAAAACATCTCCTTTCCATCAGTAATTCCTTGATACTGGAGCCAAATATTCTTTAGATGACTGGATGGTAATTTATATTTTTTTATTTACAAAAACTTAAAAGTAAGATTTTACAGTCAGAATTCCTTTGCCTTTCAAGTTTCTCTTTGGAGACATAGCTCATTTCCATGTAAAGTGCCAAATAAGTATTATACCCTTATTTTCCACACAAACCATTTCCACACAAACCTAGGTTTGAAGGCTCTTGGTGGATATATATAAAAGCAGAGTAGAGTGTTCATATTTAAAAAGAGATAAAAGTTACTTAAAGCAAAATCTGGTACATGAGTTAAACAATCAACCTGAGAAATGTTAATCTGGATTTTTAAAAATTGGATTGAACTCCCTGGAGAGATTCTACAAAGTGTAATGATGAAAAGGATAGGCTCTGGAGTGTGGTTGCTGAGATTTGAATTCCAGCTTAGTCATGTACTTTGTTGCTTATACTCTGCACCTCAGTCTCCTCATATGTAAAGTGAGCACAGTAATAGTGCTAACCAGATAGGACTGTTGTAAGGACTAAAGAAAAAAAATACATGTGACATACTTAGAGCTGTAGCATTTATTACTTGGAATGCAGTCAGTGCTTACAAAATGCTAGGTACCTCAGGGAACCAGGAGGACTGGGGAGAAGGTTTAAGAAAGCAGGACTTTTAGGGGTGCCTGGGTGGCTTAGTCGGTTAAGCGTCCGACTTTCGCTTAGGTCATGATCTCGCGGTTCATGGGTTCGAGCCCCGCCTCAGGCTCTGTGCTGACTGCCAGCTCGGAGCCTGGAGCCTGTTTCAGTCTGTGACTCCCACTCTCTCTAACCCTCCCCTGCTCACGCTGTCTCTCTCTCTCTCTCCTAGAAATAAAACATTAAAAAAAAAAAAAAAGAAAGAAAGCAGGACTTTTGGCATACTCACCAGTGTCTCCACCAGAGAACATTCCCCTTTCCCTGCTTTATAATGGGCTCCTGAGTAAAGTTTTGTTTGTTCCACATTAAAGTTTGAAAAACCAGTAATGAAATATTTACTTGAGAGTAAGAGATAATCAAGATATATTGCCAATTGATAAAAGTAAAAGTTTATTATAAGGTGATTCTATTTTTTTATGTCTATATTGTCTCAAAAAATATCATCAAAAATGTGATTATTGCTAGATAGTGGAATTAAAGGTATTTTTTTATTCTTTCACATTTTGCTAACTTGCATTTTATAATATATTTTGCACTAAGAATGTAAGTAATACATATTTCTTTTGGGAATTTAAAGTAAATTTAAGAGACAAAGCATGTAAAAAGTTAACATGGCGCACTAAATCAAAAATACTCTTAAATAAATTGTTCTATTTTATCCTAGATTTTAGACATAAATGGCAATGTCCTACCTCCTGGAGAAGAAGGAGATATTGGCATTCAAGTCCTACCTAACCGACCACTTGGCCTTTTTGCTCATTACATAGTAAGAGACTTATTTTCTATGTATTTCTCAAAAGGAGAGCCTGGGTGGCTCAGTTAGTTAAGCATCGACTCTTGATATGGGCTCAGGTCATTATCCCAAGGATTGTAGGTTTGAGTTCCGCAACGGGCTCTGTGGTGACAGTGTGGAACCTGTTTGGGATTCTCTCCCTCTTCTGCCCCTCCCCTGCTTGCTCTCTCTCTCTCTCTCTCTCCTCAAAATGAATAAATAATACAAAAAAATATATATTTTTAAAAAGCGTTTGCTAACTATCTCTATTTGTCACAAAACACACCTAGGATAGGTGCTTGGCTTTTTCTTGACTCATTGTCCTGAATAGTAATCCCTCAGATAGGAAACTGAAGAAATGCCCAAATGCTTATTCACCCTGGCCTAGATCACTGCTCCAGGCCCATGAGAGTTAGAGAAGGGAGCCCAAGAAAGACAGCCCTCTTCGTATACACTGATCCTCTCCGATACAAGACAGCAAGCAATCGTTTTCCTGAAATATGATTAGTGATTTCCCTTCTTGAGAGCAGTGAGAGGGAAGGAAAATGGGGCAGTGGGATTAAGTAAATGTCTTTTACTAGAGACTTTCCAGGCTCCCTAGTGTTTGCAAATCTAGTTTCATGTCTAACTGAAGTATATACATATATATTAAAGTTTCTATCGATATAATCAAAAGTCCAGGTTCTACTTGTCAGTTTACCTAATGTACCAGTACTTCATTTTTTCTCTTGCCAAAGTTACAGAACCAGTTTTGTTTGTAAAACAAAACACAAAAACAGAAAAACTGTTCTTTGAATTATTAGGTGCTGGTGCTTTCTTTCAACTCTGAGTATTCACTTCTCCCTTTTTCTACCTCTGTTAGATATTAGCCACTTAGCAAAAGACTTAATTAGCCCATGTCTTGGAGCTCTGAACTCCTGCAGTGTTTAGTGATCATCAAAGAAAATTCTCAGGATGGCAGCATGCCTAGTCTTTGTAACTGTAGTTTACCTCTCTTAGATTGGGCTAGATCAATGCTGGAATTGCATCCTTATTTCATACACTGGCTCCTCTTCATTCCAAGGCTTCTCAAAGAAACCAAACTTTTTTTTCTCCTTCCACACTTAAAAATCCAACTGAACAGAAGATTCACATTCACAGTAATATTAATAAAATGCTACTTGTTTCACAGGATAATCCTACAAAAACAGCTTCAACCCTACGAGGCAATTTCTATATCACTGGGGACAGGGGCTATATGGATGAAGATGGATATTTCTGGTTTGTTGCAAGATCAGATGATATCATATTATCCTCTGGGTAATTTTCTTTTTCATCTGTACATATGTGTAAGTTAATTGATCATCAGTGTTCTGGAGTGAACCTGCTGCTCACCTTTATAAAGTCCTGTCATATGTTTATTTCCCAGCTACAGAATTGGACCATTTGAGGTAGAAAGTGCCCTGATTGAGCATCCTGCAGTTGCAGAGGCAGCTGTTGTCAGCAGCCCAGATCCCATCAGGGGAGAGGTAAAAAAAAAACTGATTCATCTTCACTTTATAATTTGTTGGCAATATAACACATACTTTTCAACAGTTTATGGAAACACGATTATCCAAATGATTCATTCACTAACTATGCAAGTGAGATAGTCATTAGTAAATATGCTAGTCAGGAAAGAATTGCTAAGGATAAGATTGAAAATATATCTAAGAAATTTGAATTCTTTCCATGCAGGGATGGTATGAACGCCAACAATCCAGGCTCACAGCAGAGGTCATGCCAGAGATCAGCTAGATAGGATCAAGTTATTCCCCAGGTCTGGAAACAACATGGTCCCTAATGTAGCTGAGGAGGATAGGCTGGCATCAGATATCAGGGGTGGGAGCAGTGTCAGAGATAGGAACTGAGGCAGCAACTAGAAGTAGGCTGGGTAGGTAGCAAGCAGAGAATTCAGGAAATAAGCTGTGAATAAGACAGGAGTCTTGAAAGGTCTTCCTTTTTTTTTTTTTTTTTAAGTACGTGCCCAATGATGGGCTTGAACTCACAACCCTGAAATCAAGAGACACATGTTCTACTGACTGAACCAGCCAGGCACCCCTGAAAGCTCATTCTTTTGGGGTTGATCAAATGATAGTTTGGGTTTAAAGTTTCCATGCCACTCTTCAGGTCCCCTTTGCTAGGCAGGGCCTCCAATATTCCAGATAGATGATCTGATGATTATTGAAATTTATTCCTTCACTCTGAACTCCACCAGTAGGATCACATAGCTCTTTGGAATTTGAAGGCCATTGGGCACTATTAGACCTATGCAATGATAGAAATACTCTCTATCTGCACCATCCAATACAATAACCACACATGGCTATAAAGAACTTGAGATATGGCTAGTGTGATTGAGAAAAAATTTATTTCATTTTAATTTAAACAGCTGCATGTGGCATGTGGCTCTTCTCATAAAATGCAAAATTTTGCATAGAATTTCAGAGAAATTCTGAAGCCCACTTAAAGGATTTTAGTTAAAAAAATTGGATGTGCATCTGGATGGCACAGTCACTTAGACATCTGACTCTTGATTTTGGCTCAGGTCATGATCTCAGGGTCATGGGACTGATCCCCACATTGAGCTCCATGCTAAGCATGATATCTGGTTGAGATTCCCTCTCTCTCTCTCTCTCTCCCTCTGCCCCTTCTCTGGTTGTGCTCTCCCTCACTCTAAAACAAAACAAAAACAAACCAAAAAAAAACAAAAAAACCCCCAAAAACAAAAAACTTGTACTTCTAATACTACTATAACTAATACTTAATATTTCTGATGACTTAGCATGTTCTAGGTATTAGAAGCCCTACAAAGGGCCTGTATATGTTAACTTATTTAATCCTCACAACCTCTTTTTTGGGGGAAGGAAACTGAGGCATAGAAATGTATTCTAACTTCCCCAAGATTACACAACCAAGTGTGATTTGAACCCAGGCTGTCTGATTTTAGAGTTCATGCTCTTAACCATGTTAGGGTATTTCTTATAAATTTACCATCTTATGTAATGACTTATAAAGACTTTTATAAAGTAGGCCTTATCCAAGGTTTAGAAGTCATCAATATGCAAACTAATAATTACAAACATTAGTTCTCAGTGTGCTATACAAACTTATAGCAAGGATAAATTTAATTCATAAAAATGTTGATAAAGCAGAAGAGCAGGTATAAACACAAACATTTTATGAAATATCAAAAAATGGATAGGACAAAATTATATAAATGCATATATACATGATCTAAAAACATGGGCAGGATTTTCCATAACACTTCAAATAAGAGTGAATTTCGAAAAATAAGATTTGTGAGCATTATGTGATAGTCAATTCTGTCTTCTGTCAATTAGGGAGCAATGGTCACCACCATCACGTCTACTCTTGTTCCTCAGCGCCAGGTAATTAGAGTAATAGCAAAATGGCTGTTGGAATCTTCACAGCCTTGCATCAATACAAGTGTCTCTGGAATAAAGAGTGAGCAGTCTCAATGAACTGTTCCCTTCAACATGGATATGGCAAACTAAGTGTGAATACTCTTTATAAGGGCCATACTGAGGGTGGGGAACTAGAAACTAGACTAGATCAGGCTAGGTTGTTACCCAAGAGAGTGTGCTTAGTATGTTGCTGAATTTCTAAAAAGAAATTTTCTTTTCTTTTCTTTTTTTAAATTTTTTTTTATTTATTTCTAGGAGAGAGAGAGACAGTGTGAGCAGGGGAGGGTCAGAGAGAGTGGGAGATACAGACTGTGAAATAGGCTCCAGGCTCTGAGCTGGCAGTCAGCACAGAGCCTGACGCGGGGCTCGAACCCACGAACCGCAAGATCATGACCCAAACAAAAGTTGGACGCTTAACCGACTAAGCCACCCAGGTGCCCCAAAAAAGGAAATTTTCTTGAAAGAGATAAAAGATGAGGCAAAAAGTCAAGGACAAAGACAGGTCAGAAACAGAAACAGGTCAGAAAGCAGATGTTAGATAAGAAGGTTCAAGTTCATTAACATTATCGGCAAAGCAGGGGTCCTAGAAATTCTTGTATTAGATACCAAACAGGAGGTGTGGGACTCAACTGGCTGGCTTAAGAGCACAGAGCTGGGATCAAACTCTATGAAGCCTTCTGCCCCCAATCCCAGGCACTTAGATTCCCAGTTAGAGAAAGTAAACAAGGCACACTGAAACATAAAAATACACAACTCAGGGCGCCTGGGTGGCTTAGTCGGTTAAGCGTCTGACTTTCGCTTAGGTCATGATCTCACGGGTCGTGGGTTCGAGCCCCACGTCAGGCTCTGTGCTGACTGCCAGCTCAGAGCCTGGAGCCTGTTTCAGAGTCTGTGACTCCCTCTCTCTCTCTGACCCTCCCCTGCTCACGCTGTCTCTCTCCTAGAAATAAATAAAACATTAAAATTTTTTAAAAAAAATACACAACTCATCTTGCTGGTGTTTCAATTTTTTTTTTCAGGTAGTAAAGGCTTTTATTGTTCTGACCCGGGATTACAAGTCACATGATCGAGAACAACTAAAAAAGGAGATTCAGGAACATGTAAAAAAAGTTACAGCACCTTACAAATATCCAAGAAAGGTAGGTATTCTAATTATGATGACAATTTGCTTAGTGTTCTGAAAATTTTCAGCTGTTTACTTTTTCCATTTTAATGAATAGTCTCAAACATGCTATACCAAATATTCCAAACTGAAGTAATGACATGGGTAAGAATCAGAATCTTTGGCATTAAAATTAAATTCTTGACTTAATTTGCTGGGTCATCTGGCTAATTGGGCTTGTAGTAAATACTAAATATCAAGAAAAAAACTCAATGATACCCCTCTCCTGTTTTGGTTGTTACCAAAACTCACCTAGATGGATACCCTAATTCTTTCATCTAGAGATAATAAAACTACTATATAATTCAATTTGTCTAAAGATGAAAAGTTCTTGGGGCGCCTGGGTGGCTCAGTCGGTTAGGCTTCTGACTTTGGCTCAGGTCACGATCTCACAGTTCGTGGGTTCGAGCCCCGTGTCAGGCTCTGTGCTGACAGCTCGGATCCTGGAGCCTGCTTTGGATTGTGTCTCCCTCTCTCTCTGACCCTCCTCTGCTCAAGCTGCCTCTCTTTCTCTCAGAAATAAATAAAACATTAAAAAAACAAAAAGATGAAAACTTCTTGGCTAATTTTCTTCCCTTACTACCAACAGGTAGAATTTATTCAAGAGCTGCCAAAGACTGTCAGTGGGAAGATAAAAAGAAATGAACTAAGGAAGAAAGAATGGGAAACAATTTAAATCCACTGTATTCTTTATCACAGTATCTATAATACAAAGACTGTAGAAACACATAATTATGGAGAGGTGATTAAAAATTTAATAGTATACTTGTAAATTGTTGATGTAAAACGACTTATGGTTGGGGTGCCTGGCTGGCTCAGTCAGTAGAGCATGCAACTCTTGATCTCAGAGTTGTAAATTTGAGCCCCACATTGAGTGTAGGATTACTTAAAAAAAATAAATAAATAAAATCTTTAAATAAAATATCTTGTGATTATAACATTAGAGGCTGAATTTTGAGAGTAAATATTAGGTAAATTCCTCTGCATTAGTGTCAGTGTTCTCATGACTTTGGTAATATAAAAAGAATACCATCAATTGCTGAGAAATTTAAAAAAATTTTTTTTTTAAATTTATTTCTAGGAGAGAGAGACAGCGTGAGCAGGGGAAGGTCAGAGAGAGAGGGAGACACAGACTCTGAAATAGGCTCCAGGCTCTGAGCTGGCAGTCAGCACAGAGCCCGACGCGGGGCTCGAACCCACGAACCGCGAGATCATGACCTAAGCGAAAGTCAGACGCTTAACCGACTAAGCCACTCAGGTGCCCCGCTGAGAAATTTTTAAACATATAGTATCTGAACCAAATTTTTGATGTGTTGGTTTTCAAACTCTAGTTGAATAATTCTTCTGATATGTTGATGTACAAATCAGAACAAATCTTCAAGCTTTGAAATAAAACTAAACAACTTATAAAAGTTTTTAGGGGTGCGTGGGTGGCTCAGTCAGTTAAGTGTCTGACTCTTGATTTCAGGCTCAGGTCATGATATTATGGTTCGTGAGTTCGAGCCTGCTGTCAGGCTTTGTGCTGAGAGCATGGAGCCTGCTTGGGATTCTCTCCCTCTCCCCCCAGGACCCACCCCTACATACTCTTTCTCTTGCTCTCTCAAAATAAAGAAACTTAAAAAAAAGTTTTTAGAAAAAGAAAAAAATACATCAAGAAGATTTCATAATTCTCAAAGTACAAGTATCTAACTGGAAATAAGCTAGGGATTTTTATTAGTCATGCTTTTATTCAATTAATTTAAAAAGTTTAAATTTACTTCAAGGTCGAACTGTAACAACTGTAACTCTAATAGAGTATACAGAATATTTAATTTGTGGTTCTTCATAAAAGTATGATAAATTTGGCACGTTAATATATGACAAAAATAAAAGTGTAAGATGATTTTCAGAATACTCATGATGTTTGGAAATTCAAGGAACAATCAGGATTCATAGATGAATACAAGAGAAGTGTTAGATAACTGATGAAGGAAATTCAAAGTGGGCGAAATTGATTTTTTTCTCTATTTTCAGTGTGTGTGTATGTGTGTGTTTAATAGCCCCAGTGCAGTCTATAGAACTCAGATATGCTAAGTCTCCATAACTTGTAGCCCTATGCACTTTTTTATCACACAAAAAGTTGTATTAAAAATAGAGTTTAGATGTAGGGAAGGTTTATCAATTCCTCATTGAAGGTCTGAGTCTCAAAGAATTTTTAGTAGAAAAATTTACCTTTCTGTCACAAAGATGGCTTATTTCTGAAGAACTAAAAGTGAGTCCCCCCGGAGAATGAGACAGAACACTGCTGTTGGCTCTCTCCTTTCGAAGTGTTTGTTCCCACTTGAAATAACCACAACATTTTCTGTTTTCTTGATATTTCCCAATAGGGCAACAAAAGAAGACTTTTCCATGGTTTGGTCCATTATTACAAACAACAAGTCTCTTAGATCTTCGGCCACACTTGCATAAAGGAGGTGTAATTTTCCCACTCTTCCAAGGGTCTTGTAGGTTAACTGTAGAAGCTAAGATAGAGGGGAGGGCCTTCTGGGAACAACTACTCACTGGGGAGCCATCAGATAATGTAGGCTTTTCTTCATGAATAGTGAAGGACTGTTTTTTTGCTGGTGGGAAAGCTGGGGGACTGGAAGGATTTCGTTTAGTACCACATAAAAGGAGGGGGTATTTCCCCAAAACTGAAGGATGAGACATATTGGCATTAATACTGTTGAAGCTACTTGATTTGCATGCTGGTAATTTAAAGTCAGAAGCAACTGAACCTTGATCTTTGGCATCTTTTACATGATAAACAGTAGTATGTGGACTCTTATATACAATAGCCTTAGAGGTCTCAGATTTTTGAGGAGTTTCTTCTGTGCATTTCTTTAAAACCATTAATCTTTCTATGGAATTAAATGAAGTGTCTAAGTTTGAATCACTAATGGGAAGCATACAATCCATATTTTGCTTAGGCTGAGATGCTGGCAATAAAGCTACATCCTCCCAATCAGCCAACATAGGTAAACAATCAAGAGCAGAACTCATTTCCCTATCAGAAACATGATTAACAGATGAAATGGTAGTTGAAACAAGTACCAATTCTGAACTAACTGCTGAAGACTTAGGTTTGGTACCAAATGCAAGGTGTTCATTTTTTATGTGCTTCTGCATAGGTGTATTCAAGCTGGGAGATGGCAACTGCTCCAGAGAAGTAGAGGGCTTTGTATTAAGAACAGATAAATAGCTTTTGCCATTGTGAAGACCTACTTTTATATTGCTCTTTAGTTGGAACTGATCTTGTCCCTTTATAGGAGAATTCACATCAGCTGACCTCAAATGAACTTTTTCATGAGAATTTACTGTATTTTTAGGCTCCCTATCATATGTGCTCAGACCCCAAATGCTACTGTTGCAGACCGATGCTTCTTCAACTTGATTCGTATTCAAATTTCTGGCCAAAATGTTGGGATTCTTCTTAGTGGGAACCTATGATTCCACAGAATAGTTTTAGAAACTGTAAATTCACAATTTCCTTACTATACACTACATGTTTTGACAAAAAAGAATAATGTCATCATTCATTGATTTATAAATGATTCTGCACAATGATTATCTGTATTTCCATGAGCCTCTGACTACTTATGGAGTTTGATATAACAGAATAAAGAGGCAAAACACAACTAACCTTGTTTAAGGACCTTGTAATTTTCATTAAGCAACCATCCCTGATCATTTTCCAAGCAAGAAGGGCAGTATTCCGAGAATCATCCAACCCTGAGGAAACAGATATCAAACGCTGAATTTCATAGTACCAGTGTAAAGAAATATAGCAAAAATAAGAAATCACAATTCAAACTGGAACATACTATTTGTTTTATGATCATCTACTAATTCTAATCATAATAAATTACATTAGCAAAAAGCTGTGGCAACCTTACCAATAAAAGACAAGATTGCCCACATTTACAGAGAAGATAAAAATCTGTTACAGTTCACAAAAATGTAAGCAACATTCTGTAGGGAGCATGTTTTGTGAGTAATCTAATGATCTTGCTCAGTTTTTTCACTAATTCACGGTATTATTTGGGCATTTGTTTAATCTCCATTTGATTTAGCTAATTTCCATTCTTTTTAGCAACTACCACTAGATGGCAGTCTTTATCTTACACTACCAGTAATTTGAAAGTCAAATAATTTGAATAGTACAGTATAGATTAGGAGCTTTTTTTAGGCTGAAGAATATTCTTTATTAATGACATCACCAAAAACATGGTGATTCATATGAAAGACTTTATAAAAATAAAATGACTTACATAATAAAATTATTTTCAATTTATACTAACCAGAATGTTCTCGTCCCAAGAATTCTATTCCCACTTCCTGCAGGGCACCATGTAGTCCTTTTGGTTTTCTTCTATAGAAAGTCTAATCAAATAAAAGAAGACATATTCAAAAAAAAGGTTACTATTAGAAATGCTATATATTAAACACTTACTTTTCATAATTTTAAGCTCTATTAGATTTGGAATGTGTTTATTTTGTTGTGCTGTTTTATATATTTAAAAAATAATGTATTTTTTAAAAAATATATTTAAAATATTTAAAATATACTTAAATTTTTTTAATTTAAAAAATACAAAAAAAATAAAAGTTTCAAAAGAAAAAATATTTTATTTATAGTAACCTATACTTATGTGTGGGATGAAGTTTCATCATTTTTTAGTAGAAGGAAAGTGAACATGCCTCCCTCTTTGGCCCTTACCTTATAAGTTACTCTGAGATCAATCCAACAATTTAAGAACACAGGTTTTAACAGCTGTTTTCTTTTACACTCATACTCCAGGCAAACCCCCAAGTCCCAGTCTGCATTAAGTATATTAAAATAGAACAAATTCAAAGATGCCAAGTAGTTTTTACTTGTGCTATCATCATTTATAAATAAAAGGTTGAAAGATGATATAAAATAAAATAGTAAGATTTAGGAATAACATAATACACATATAATGTACAGTATACCACCAAACCATACTGTATACTTTAGTATATGTACTATATACAGTATATAAGCTATAATGTACATGCTATGACAGTATACTATATACTATATAAAATAAAGTCATAATGTATATGCTATAACATTATATAATATAAAATGAAATAAGATTTCTGTGCTGTTAACATCTAATAATTATTCACTTTACATAATTTATTAAGAAATTAAGTTGGTAACTAAGTTTCAAAATGATTTAACCATCCAGTAAAACACACCAAATATTTCAGAAAGAAGAGTAAGGTGTCAAGTTACAAGGCTTACATGGAGAAGGTTATCTGTTTTTAACATTCTAGGAAAGTACTAATGTAACTGGGAAACCAGACATCTTATAGAAACCTAAATCCAAATATGACTATCAATACTATGCTATCAATGGCACAGCATTGCTAGCAATGACTGTTAATGGCAATGTTACATCACAGGCATACAAAAGATCTAGTTTAATAACCCATTTTTTCCTAGTGTGAAAGTAATAAAAGCAAAGGATGTGAGTTGAATGAAGCTTCTTTTTTTCAAAATTGTAGAAATAGCGGTAGAGTTTTCACTAAATCATCTTTGCCATCAGAAGACCAGAGAGGAAAAATCTGGAAAGATTCTTAAAGTCTTAAAATTTTAAGGTATCCCAGAATGGTAATTTGAAAAATATGAATAAACTTACTTTCCTTCATTAACATCTGTTAGGCACTTAGATTTCTTTTTGAAGCC